ACCGCAGTGCCTACAACAACAACTGTTCCGACTACCACGTCCACTCCTACGTCGACAACGACCTTGCCAACAACGACCACCATGCCCACATATACGGAATCAACGACACAAGTGGAAACGACATCTACAGTTACAACTAGTACAGCAACAACTGTTCCGACAACCACGTCCACTACTACGTCGACAACGACCATACCAACAACGACCACAACTCCGTTTTCTACAGGATCAACGACGGCTACAACTAGCACAGCGACAGCTTCGACTACACTCATGACAACAACAGGTATGCCTGAAATACTAAGAATTCTTAGTTATCGATCGAGAATTTTCTTGCAAAACAAGACTTTGATATAACGTGGTTTCTTTGTGAAAATGGTCGATTGACATGTAACAAGTCCATGTGGTATTATTTGAATACATATTTTGAGAGATACAAAATGAATGTTGGGCCTGCAATATTTATTACAAATTGCTATCATCGGCATCAAATACCTGCCTTATTTATGCAAAACAGTCAGACAATCTGACGTAAGTAAAAGATCAGGAACGCTAATGAAGTTGTTGTTTTTCTTACAACGAAATTCCTTGATAATATCAATGTTAATTGATATTTTATTAAGTAATGCATTTCTGTACCTTCCACGCGTAACCAATAAGAAGCAAACCTGAATGTTCCGAAGTTAAAATCATACTTGTTTTCATAGATTTTTGATGAAGTAATCTATCCAAACATTAAATAATCATTGTAATCATGTATCGGCAGTGACAAAACAGAGAAAAGGTATTCTTGATCAATGGATACATGTCATTTCCTTATTTCGTGCCGTTATTCTTAGCTTCAACTATGGAGTATGACTATATATAATGAACAGATTTAATCATTAACTATTGCAAACTGTAATCCGTTAAAGTATTTTGATTACTTTTCATCAAACAAATATGTGCATTATTTCTGAGAGAGGTAATATGATGGCATTATATGAAAGAAATAAACATTTAAAATAACATTTTGTGATATTTTCATATTTCGAAAAGAATAACCAATTACAGACGTTCAACAAACATAATTGAAATAACTTTACTGTAGAAATTGCTCGTATCTATGTAATATCATATCAAGTGAAATTAATCCTAAAAAATGATTTTATCTATTAAATCTTACATCCCAAATTCACTGTAAAATCAGCTTCTAAGTAACTGCTAAAACATGTTTTATGATATAATCAACAATCGCCTATAACAATGGATATTATGAATGAGTTATAAGACTTTAAACGTATATTCTAACTCAAAGGTAATCGAAGGCCTTATTCCTTATTAATATGACTGCATATATTTTCACCAACAGAAATCCTACCGACAACGACGACTTCTACTCAGACGACGCCGACAACTTCATCGACCACGACTTCAACGTCTTCAACGCCCACATCGACGACATCCACGACAACAGTTCCTACCACAACAACATCCGCAACGCCCACACCGACAACTTCAGGTACCACTCTTCCTCCAACAATCAGTTTCACATCGCCCTTGTCTACCTCGATTAAATCGTCTACAGCATCCCCTACTCCAACAACTACGTTGAGTAAGATAACAACTATGTTAACTACACCGACGTTGACAACATCAGTTATCACTGAATTAACAACAACAACAACATTAACAACACCGACAACATCTGTAACTACAATACCTCATACAACAACATCAACTTCACATCCTCCAACTACAACTACTACACCAACTCCGACAACATCAATAATCACTACACCAGAAACAACCACATCAACTACACCTACCCCGACAACATCTGTAACTACAATACCTCATACAACAACATTAACTTCACCTCCTCCAACTACAACTACTACACCAACTCCGACAACATCAATTATCACTACACCAGAAACAACAACATCAACAACACCTACCCCGACAGCATCTGTAACTACAATACCTCCTACAACAACATCAACTTCACCTCCTCCAACTACAACAACTACACCAACTCCGACATCATCAATTATTACCACACCAGAAGCAACAACATCAGCCACAGCTACCCCGACAACATCTGTAACTACAATTCCTCCTACAACAACATCAACTTCCCCTCCTCCAACTACAACAACTACACCAACTCCGACATCATCAATTATTACCCCACCAGAAGCAACAACATCAACCACAGCTACCCCGACAACATCTGTAACTACAATACCTTCTACAACAACATCAACTTCACCTCCTCCAACGACAACAACTACACCAACTCCGACAACATCAATTATTACCACACCAGAAGCAACCACATCAACAACAGCTACCCCGACAACATCTGTAACTACAATACCTCCTACAACAACATCAACTACACCTCGTGCAACTACAACTACTACACCAACCCCGACAACATCAATTATTACTACACCAGAAGCAACAACATCCACCACAGCTACCCCGACAACATCTGCAACTACAATACCTTCTACAACAACATCAACTACCCCTCTCCAAACTCCAACAACTACACCAACTCCGCCAACATCAATTATTACCACACCAGAATCAACCACATCAACAACAGCTCCCCCGACAACATCTGTAACTTCAATACCTCCTACAACTACATCAACTACACCTCTCCAAACTACAACAACTACACCAACTCCGACAACATCAATTATCACTTCACAAGAAACAACAACATCAACAACACCTACCCCGACAACATCTGTAACTACAATCCCTCCTACAACAACATCAACTACCCCTCCTCCAACTACAACAACTACCCCAACTCCGACAACATCAATTATCACTTCACCAGAAACAACCACATCAACAACACCTCCCCCGACAACATCTGTAACAACAATTCCGCCTACAACAACATCAACTACACCTCATCCAATTACAACTACTACACCAACTCCAACAACATCAATTATCACTACACCAGAAACAACCACATCAACTACACACTACAACTACTACACCAACTCCGACAACTTCAATTATCACTACACCAGAAACAACCACATCAGCAACACCTACCCCGACAACATCTGTCACTTCAATACCTCCTCCAACAACATCAACTACACCTCCTCCAACTACAACAACTACACCAACTCCGACATCATCAATTATCACTTCACCAGAAGCAACAACATCAACCACAGCTCCCCCGACAACATCTGTAACTACAATACCTCCTACAACAACATCAACCTCAAGCTACCCCGACAACATCTGTAACTACAATACTTTGTAACTACAATACCTCCTACATCAACATCAACTACTTATTACCACACCAGAAGCAACAACATCAACCACAGCTCCCCCGACAACATCTGTAACTACAATACCCCCTACAACGGCATCAACTACACCTCCCCCAACTACAACAACTACACCAACTCCGACATCATCAATTATCACTTCACCAGAAGCAACAACATCAACCACAGCTTCGCCGACAACATTTGTAACTACAATACCTCCTACAACAACATCAACTACATCTCCTCCAACTACAACAACTACACCAACTCCGTCAACATCAATTATTACTACACCAGAAGCAACAACATCAACCACAGCTTCGCCGACAACATTTGTAACTACAATACCTCCTACAACAACATCACTACATCTCCTCCAACTACAACAACTACACCAACTCCGTCAACATCAATTATTACTACACCAGAAGCAACAACATCAACCACAGCTACGCCGACAACATTTGTAACTACACTACACCTCTCCAAACTACAACAACTACACAAACTCCGACAACATCAATTATCACTTCACCAGAAGCAACAACACCAACCACAGCTACGCCGACAACATTTGTAACTACAATACCTCCTACAACAACATCAACTACACCTCCTCCAACTACAACAACTACACCAACTCCGTCAACATCAATTATTACTACACCAGAAGCAACAACATCAACCACAGCTTCGCCGACAACATTTGTAACTACAATACCTCCTACAACAACATCAACTACACCCCCTCCAACTACCACCAACTCCGACAACATCAATTATCACTACCCCAGAAACAACCACATCAACCACCCCTACCCCGACAACATCTGTAACTACAATCCCTCCTCTACACCAACTCCGACAACATCAATTATCACTTCACCAGAAGCAACAACATCAACCACAGCTACGCCGACAACATTTGTAACTACAATACCTCCTACATCAACATCAACTACACCTCCTCCAAGTACAACTACTACACCAACTCCGACAACATCAATTATCACTACACCAGAAACAACCACATCAACAACACCTACCCCGACAACATCTGTAACTACAATTCCGCCTACAACAACATCAACAACACCTCCTCCAATTACATCTACTACACCAACTCAGACAACATCAATTATCACTTCACCAGAAACAACCATATTAACTACACCTACCCCGACAACATCTGTAACTACAATACCTCCTACAACAACATCAACTACACCTCGTGCAACTACAACTACTACACCAACTCCGACAACATCAATTATCACTACACCAGAAACAACCACATCAACAAGACCTACCCCGACAACATCTGTAACTACAATTTCGCCTACAACAACATCAACTACATCTCCTCCAACTACAACTACTACACCAACTCCGACAACATCAATTATCACTACACCAGAAACAACCACATCAACAAGACCTACCCCGACAACATCTATAACTACAATTTCGCCTACAACAACATCAACTACACCTCCTCCAACTACAACAACTACACCAACTCCGACAACATCAATTGAAAATACACCTGAGAAAACAACATCAACAACACCTACCCCGACAACAACTGTAACTACACTACCTCATACAACAACAACAGCTACACCCCCTCCAAATACAACAACTACATCAACTCAGACAACATCAATTATCACTCCACTAGAAACAACCACATCAACAACACCTACTCCGACAACATCTGTAACTACAATTCCGCCTACAACAACATCAACTACACCTCATCCAATTACAACTACTACACCAACTCCAACAACATCAATTATCACTACACCAGAAACAACCACATCAACCACACCTACCCCGACAACATCTGTAACTACAATACCTCCTACAACAACATCAACTACATCTCCCCAAACTACAACAACAACACCTACTCCGACAACATCAATTGAAACTACACCTGAAAAAACAACATCAACTACACCTACCCCGACAACATCTGTAACTACAATACCTCCTACAACAACGTCAACTACACCTCCTCCAACAACATCAACTACACCAACTCAGTCAACATCAATTATCACTACACCAGAAACAACCACATCAACTACACCTACCCCGACAACATCTGTAACTACAATACCTCCTACAACTGCATCAACTACACCTCCTCCAACTACAACAACTACACCAACTCCGACAACATCAATTATCACTACACAAGAAACAACCACATCAACCACACCTACCCCGACAGCATCTGTAACTACAATACCTCCTACAACCACATCAACTACACCTCCTCCAAGTTCAAGTACTACACCAACTCCGAAAACATCAATTATCACTACAACAGAGACAACCACATCAACCACACCTACGCCGACAACATCTGTAACTACAATACCTCCTACAACAACATCAACTACACCTCCTCCAACTACAACAACTACACCAACTCCGACAACATCAATTATCACTACACCAGAAACAACCACATCAACAACACCTACTCCGACAACATCAGTAACTACAATACCTCCTACAACAACATCAACTACACCTCCCCAAACTACACCAACAACACCAACTCCGACAACATCAATTATCACTACACCAGAAACAACCACATCAACAACACCTACCCCGACAACATCTGTAACTACAATACCTCCTACAACAACATCAACTACACCCCCTCCAACTACAACAACTATACCAACTCCAACAACATCAATTAAAACAACACCTGAAAAAACAACATCAACAATACTTACCCCGACAACATATGTAACTACAATTCCTCCTACAACTGCATCAACTACACCTCCTTCAACTACAACAACTACACCAACTCCGACAACATCAATTATCACTACACAAGAAACAACCACATCAACTACACGTACCCCGACAACATCTGTAACTACAATACCTCCTACAACCACATCAACTACACCTCCTCCAAGTACAAGTACTACACCAACTCCGAAAACATCTATTATCACTACACCAGAGACAACCACATCAACCACACCTACGCCGACAACATCTGTAACTACAATACCTCCTACAACAACATCAACTACACCTCCTCCAACAACAACTTCTACACCAACTCCGACAACATCAATTATCACTCCACCAGAAACAACCACATCAAACACACCTACCCCGACAACATTTGTAACTACAATACCTCCTACAACAACATCAACTACACCTCCTCCAACTACAACTTCTACACCAACTCCGACAACATCAATTATCACTCCACCAGAAACAACCACATCAACGACACCTACCCCGACAACATCTGTAACTACAATTCCTCCTACAACAACATCAACTACACCTCCTCCAACTACAACAACTATACCGACTCCGACAACATCAATTATCACTACAGAAGAAACAACCACATCAACGACACCTACCCCGACAATATCTGTAACTACAATACCTCCTACAACAACATCAACTACACCTCCAACTACAACAACTATACCAACTCCGACAACATCAAGTATCACTACACCAGAGACAACCACATCAACAATACCTACCCCGACAACATCTGTAACTACAATTCCTCCTACATCAACATCAACCACACCTCCCCAAACTACACCAACTACACCAACTCCGACAACATCAATTGAAACTACACCAGAAACAACCACATCAACAACACCTACCCCGACAACATCTGTAACTACAATTCCGCCAACAACAACATCAACTACACCTCGTCCAACTACAACTACTACACCAACTCCGACAACATCAATTAAAACTACACCTGAAACAACCACTTCTACAAAACCTAACTCGACAACATCTGTAACTACAATACCTCCTACAACAACATCAACTACACCTCCCCAAACTACAACAACTAAACCAACTCCGATAACATCAATTATCACTACACCAGAAAGAACCACATCAACCACACCTAACCCGACAACATCTGTCACTTCAATACCTCCTACAACAACATCAACTACACCTCCTCCAACTACAACAACTGGACCAACTCCGACAACATCGATTATCACTACACCAGAAACAACCACATCAACAACACCTACCCCGACAACATCTGTCACTTCAATACCTCCTCCAACAACATCAACTACACCTCCTCCAACTACTTCTACTACACCAACTCCGACAACATCAATTATCACTACCCCAGAAACAACAACATCAACTACACCTACCCCGACAACATCTGTAACTACAATACCTCCTACAACAACATCAACTACACCCCCTCCAACTACATCAACTACACCAACTCAGACAACATCAATTACCATTACACCAGAAACAACCACATCAAACACACCTACCCCGACTACATCTTTAACTACAATACCTCCTACAACAACATCAACCTCACCTCCTCCAACTACAACTACTACACCAACTCCGACAACTTCAATTATCACTACACCAGAAACAACCACATCAACAAGACCTACCCCGACAACATCTGTAACTACACTACCTCCTACAACAACATCAACTACACCTCCAACTACAACTACTACACCAAATCCGACAACATCAATTGAAACTACACCAGAAACAACCATATCAACAACACCTACGCTAACAACATCTGTAACTACAATACCTCCTACAACAACATCAACTAAACCTCCTCCAACTACAACTACTACACCAACCCCGACAACATCTGTAACTACACTACCTCCTACAACAACATCAACTACCCCTCCTCCAACTCCAACTACTACACCAACTCCGACAACTTCAATTATCACTACACCAGAAACAACCACATCAACAAGACCTAGCCCGACAACATCTGTAACTACACTACCTCCTACAACAACATCAACTACACCTCCTCCAACTACAACTACTTCACCAAATCCGACAACATCAATTATCACTACATCAGAAACAAGCACATCAACTACACCTACGCTAACAACATCTGTAACTACAATACCTCCTACAACAACATCAACTACACCTCCTCCAACTACAACAACTACACCAACTCCGACAACATCAACTATCACTACACCAGAAAGAAGCACATCAACAACACCAACCCCGACAACATCTGTAACCACAGTACCTTCTACAACAACATTAACTACACCTCCTCCAACTACAACAACTACACCAACTCCGACAACATCAATTATCACTACACCAGAAACAACCACATCAGCAACACCTACCCTGACAACATCTGTAACTACAATACCTCATACAACAACATCAACTACACCTCCTCCAACTACAACTTCTACACCAACTCTGACAACATCAATTGAAACTACACCAGAAACAACCACATCAACCACACCTAACCCGACAACATCTGTAACTACAATATCTCCTACAACAACATCAACTACACCTCCCCCAACTACAACAGCTACAACTCATCGACATATCACATCTGCAACCTCTCCCCCAACTTCAACAACTACACAAGCACCTACTCCAACTACATCGACAACGTCAACCACAACAGAGTCAACAACGACTTCCACGATGACTATTTCGACTACAACGTCCGCCACGCCCACACCGACGACATCAGTCACCACTACAACAACACCAACTTCCATTGCTAGTCCTACAACAGGTGTGTTGAGACAATGTGTTTCAACTAATGTGTAGGATATATATATATCGGAAACAGACACGTCTGTCTTCTTAACGCTGCTCTGTAAGGAGTAAAACCTAATATTTGTTTGGATCTCGTTTACCTTTAGCTGTTTTCATACTTATGAAATATTTTGTTTGGTTGCAAAAATTAACTGAAACTTAATTTTTATAAGTGATTTTAATTGCTTTTATCACTTAGTTTTTTGTTTTCGAAAACATACTGTCTCGCGATATATGACACAAGCTTGTGATACGTACTTTTCATGAAATATATGTAACTTCAAGTACAAAACATTTCGTTGTATTACTGCTGCATTAACTCTGATATACCAGTTTACTTCAATTGACTTAATATACATACATTGCAGAATGTTTACACAGATTCGTGGAAAAATATTCTCACGATATTGTTGCTAAATCCAAAGACGGGGTAGGAAATGGACTAAGTGAGGCATTTTTACCGTTTGCTGGACGTTCGCTACCAACAATACTGTATACATTGAAGGCTGTCAACGATGATGTGCGATTCTTCCGGTTTGTGGGACGGGTTTCAAACTTGAAGCTAGTCCGCGTATTTGTCATCGATAATTATAAAAGGAGCGTCAGTCCAATCAATCCAATTGAGGTAACATTTAAATTTAAAACGTAGATATTTTAAATTAAAAGTGAAGAATCAGTAAGCCGCAGTGGACTTATTCATAACACTATTTATCACATAACTGACCCATTTTAATATGTCGTATGGTCATGGTGTTTCACATGTGTAATTAAACCTAAAGGTGCTGCGATTGGTCAAAACCACAAGGAACATATTTCAACGCCGCTACAGATACTACGTGTATTTACTTTACCACGTGATACATTAACTGTTATTACAAAATAATTTGATTTTTTTTTATATTCATTGCATTTAAAACTAGTCCTTTGCATTGCGCGGAACGACAATACTATGATCGGAGTTATTTTGTTTTAACTATAAAGAGCTAGCTGAGAACACATAATTGGGTTTGAAGTTTCAAAATATGAATGTTAAGTGATAAAAAAGAAACTTACATGAGTGTCCATGTCATAATAATTTTTCCATTACTGAACATTCATAAATGTTACCAGTTTAGTTACACCAACATGATATCAATTGAAACGAACGTGAAATTCTTATTTTTTTATTGTTATTACGCTACAAATAATCAGAAGTCATGTCGTCACCGTCTAAAACTTACACAAGATCAGCAGATATGGAGTATGTAGGAAGTGAGTTTATAGCGTAATAAACAATATGCTTTAAACTGAAATATAAAAGAAACAAATATTAATGCAATTTGCTGTTTTTAAATAGATTGATGTTACTGGAGGGTTCCGGAAAAGAATAGAGGTAAAATTACTTGGCACACGAGGTGTGGCATTAAAGGTCGTATTGGTACCAGCATCGTATGGCCAACCTTCTCTTGATAGTGTCCAATTGGAAGTTTGCTATGAGACAGGTAAACCTTTAACGTAAAATATATACCCGTCGATCAGTAATTAACATGTATGTCTGACTTATTGGCAATGTTTTGTATCTGGTGTATGGTTGTTTCGTCGTATTTTCATGGGCATGGATTTAAAAATACTAATATCTTTAAGAGCTTTGTGTTAGACGTGCATTTGTTTGATTAAAAATTTGAGTGTATTCCATTCAATAATGTTATCAATTTGATATTTTACAGAGTTTCCTTTGTTTATCAGCCAATGGATATTGAACCTCCTCCCCAAATTGATGATGGATTACCTGCCCAACTATTCGCCTTACCCGTCATATTAAACCTAACCTTTTCCTTTTTATTAATGTTTACATATTATTGTGTGTCTAAAAGTTGTGATAATTTCACTGGATGTTTAATTTTTTAACTGCAAATTACATTGAATTATTTTTCATACAAGTTGTACATATGTATATCTTCCCATATATATATGCAAAGGAAATACAAAACAAATCCTCGCAAAACCGAATAGGCACTTATGTTTGGGACGATATACAATAAAAACAGGCAATTGCTAGCGTCAGCATTTTAATGCGAAACATTGAATAAAACTAATGATGAGGGCTCTTGATATCATATAGTATATGAAACATGTTGCTGAACCGAATCCTTATTTCTTTTGACAGCTTCTACAACAACAGTTAAAACAACTTTGGGTATGTCAATTCTTTTTAAGTCAGTCTTCGATTATATCAGATAATATGCTTATAATATTATTTCACTATTATTTCATCAATATTATATATCATTATTAATTTGTAATTCCCCTGTATATCATAACATTACGATAACTTCAATATACACGTTTGTTGTCATTTTATCATAATTATATTCACTCCATATTTATTGTATGTATTTCATTTTTCCACATTTACAACTACAGCCAGCACTACCACTACTCAAAAGACTTGCACACATACTAACAGCATGGAAGATCCGATCAATACACCGCAAATTATAAGCGATTCATCCGCATTCGTACTATCGACTAACGATATTGCTCAATTGGGTTCTCAAAACGGGTTACCTGTGAGCGAGAGCCCGTTCGTCATTTCCGTCACTTTCGAAAATGCTGTCGTCGTTGACACATTTGAAGTTATTGATTTTGCCGGTACTAATATCGAACAAGTTGATGTACAGATAAAAGAAGGTGAAAATCTTACTCCGCCGATAAAGGTAATATTTCAACAATATATACAAAAAGTATATCAATTACACTGAATATTTAACCATTACCATGTAAGTTAAAGCATAAAAATATTGAGTACTTGTTCAATTCTACCTTTTTGATAAATCACGTTACCATACCAACAGTCTTTGTTATCATAGATCAAGAACGAGTGTTCTTACCTAAATACTAGTTAAGTATATATATGTATAAGGATCGATTGAGAGTAAACATATCCCGTGATGAACCTCTGAAGAGGTGAAAGGGCTAGGGAGCCGCTCATAATATATTTGTTCATGGCAAGATATATTGTTTTTATTTATAGGAAGGCAATGGACACTTTTCCTTAATCAGAAATGAAAAGGTTAAACAATTGAGAATCACATTTACTGCTACGGAGACTAATATGATGATTGTCAGATTCAAGATATTTGTATGTGCTGAAGGTATGTATCGACAATACCCATTGTTATGTACAGATGTACTGAATGCAATTCTGTTGACTTATCGCAACATTATTTAATCTTAATTTCTTCAGGACAAAATACATTTATTTTGAAACCGTAAAAGCATCGATAAAAACAGAACACATTTAGGTTCGACTCTTATGTAATGTTAGGGCCGATGTAGCTAGTATCATTATCAATATTTGAATCTGAACAGATTAGATTAATTAATATAAAGAACATGTCAGAAAACCGTAATTCGAACTTAGAATCGATAGAACTAGAGAGCATAAATTCTTCTTTGGCATATTACAATTCTTTTTTATGTTTCTCCTTTAAAACCATGTTTAATTTTTATAGAAGACATTGGATATTTTGGTGTTTGCTACATGATATGTTTTGTTGCTATTGATAAACTTCTATAGAATGCTCTTTATTAAAGTATTTTTAATTTATTTACGGCTTAAACACATCGCCATTCTTACATGACAGCTTCAGCTAAGAGTATTTCGAGTGTTGACGCAGTTCACAATATACATGCTTTACTCAATATTAATATGACACAATCCAATAACTCTCTTTTGTTTGTTAATCGTGTAATTAAGAGGTTTTACGCACATCCACTTCTGTTTCGATAGCAGTTTATACCAGTGTGGATGATCCACCGTTTTTGGTATCTAGCATCATCGATAAGTCCTAGCAGTTACTGTATGGTGCAATATATATTTCTCACATATTTAGTGTGATAACCTGTTGGAAGATACATGTAAAATGTTATGATTTATAGGTCGAAAATCATACCAATGTATGATTGCAAAAGTACATTTCTTAAGTCGTTTCCGGAGGCAATGATGTTAATATATATTGTTAGCCAATTGTGATTGATTTTCTTTTGTATCTCGGTTTGAACATTACCGCTGTCCTGATTGTGTCTTGATGACATGTAACAAATTTACAGATTGAATCTGAAGTTATCAATTTAACGGTTGTGACAACCCGTATATCAAATGTAAAGACTGTTATTTTTGTTTGATGCAATCAAATTTTGCAATTGAAAGGTACAACACAAGTTTCAAGTGAGGCAACAACCCAACCATCGTCTACTTCTGCTGTGTCAACCTCGAGTACCACGTCATCGTCATCGACTACTGTAGGGACAGGAGCAACAACAGCTGAAACAACCACCCAGTCAACGGCATCTCAGGGTAAATGCCCATAAACATAAAAATTCCATTCCTTATATCTTAAAAATAATTCTTAATCTATTCAATGTATGTAATCGTTCTCAAAATGCAGTTTTAAGAAATCCTAAGATTTTGATAGTATAACGGAGTTATTTGCTGTACAAATTACAGGGTCTACCACAACAGGAAACCCCACTGTCCCTCCGACTGAATCAACAGCTGCGTCTACGGAGTCAACACGTACTAGTGGTATGTTTCTTAACATTTTTGTGTGGTTGAAGTTTGAATATTAAAAGGTTATTACAACTAGTAAATGTTTATGTGTGACGTTTGGGTGAATAGTACGGTACGTATCATTTCACCTTAACCAGACACAATAACTAGTTACGCATACGTACACAAAACAAAGACGAATCGAATTGTCGGTATGATGCGTCATTTCGTACATGACTAACAATTCAGTGTACTTAACCTTATAGTGTGTTCGAATCGACTTCGAATATATAAAGCCAATTCGTACATATTTTACAACGTTGTGTTCTTAAGCCTCACTGGTCATTTATCTGATGAATGTGACAGTATACGTATCGTACTAGTGACCGAAACGTCACAAATAAACACTTTATGATTGTGATACATAACCATTCGTCAATTAGTGGTTTTGATTAAATTCTATTACAAAGGAGTTATTTGTATCTGTACTTATCCATCGCGTACTGCATGGTTCCTTGTTCAATGAGCAAATTATATGTGTATAGTGATTGTCTCTATTGAAACATAAAAAGATGCTACAGTCCGAAAACATCTACAGCATTTTAATAAAACGAGGAAAAGGGTAAGAAAATAATTATTTAGAGTGATTTGACTGAAACAAATCATAAAACATAGACCTGCCCTTCTCATATAACATAATCAGTTTATGTATAAAGTACTGATGAGTGTGTTTCATATAACAGATATACACCTATGTTCATGCTAGACTTCATACATTTGGTATAATTATTTAATGTAGTATTAATATACAAATAAAAACATACATGTTTTATAAGCTTGAACACATAACATATTTATTTATTTATAAGTTGTTGGTTTTCCAAAATGAGTGTTACAATTCACATCCATGTTTAACACTTTACAGAGAGTGTTGGTTCCAATCTGTTCGACAAACCGGTAGTTGTATGTTTCTACAAACCAAATTCTGCTATCACTTTTCATACAAGATACTGTGGTATTACTTACAATTACACAACGATAACTGGCAGTGAATGGTCCTAATATTGTGTATATGTGTTGACTTATGTTATTGTATTCTTCTATATATTTTACTCACTGCTGTTATCACAACTACCCGCGTTGTTTAGACAACTCTTTACACGGAAAATCCTGACTAACATTCAAACATTTCAACAAAAACTGAGAAAACAATATATTCCACTGATCGATCAACTCGTATCTTAGCACACCCAAATGTGTCACCGCCTTCAGATTCAGCCCATCGATCATCTTCATTTGCATAACATTTATTGATGTTTTGTTTAGAATTTTCATTTCTAAGTCTTGAAATAATTTTATTACTGTTTCAGTTGGAATGGGTCATATACGTTTATACATGTTCAATATTACAGTAGAACATGTGAACAAATGTCTTCAACTGCACAAGTTATGCTACATAAAATCAAATATGCTTCATCTTTAAGGTACTATGGCGAGTTTTCCGACCGAAAAACCTCCAACCTCTTTACATTCAACAAAGGGAACGGGAAACCGTTCTACTACTACTGCGTTCCAATCAACAACTTCTCTAATTACATCAACAGGAACTAGTTCCGCAACCCAAGGAACTGGTATATATCTACAATATTTTTGTTGACTTGTGTAAAGGATATTTCATATTTTCTGTATTTTCCGATTTCTATTTCTGTGAAAGTTTTAAAATAAATTTGAATATATCTGTCGAATAATTCATATTTAAGTAAAATGATGACGTTTCGTTTTGGAATAACGCTCCTTAGATTTATTTTTTTTTTTTACATTTTGTATGACAAGTTTTTTAATAAGCTCATTGCATCTGCATTGTTGATTAATTCGTCTTCAATTTATAGTACCGACAAAAACGAGTTTTGCATCAACAACTCTATCTGTGACAACACCCCCATCGGAAACTACGTCTACCGCGTTTACTACGAAGTTACCAACAACGACGACCTTTGTTACTCCTACTGCTTCAATCTCTTCCTCAGAAACTATGACGCTGACCACTTTGGTTTCCACTGCTTCACCACCAACTTCGACTACTCACAGCATAACAAATGGTATACAAAATGTACATTTTTTTTAGTACGTTCAAAGGATCCATGATGGCCGGTCAGTATGTGATACGTTCGTATTTTTCTGCTATCTCTACCAGTTTTATCTGGACATATCAGTCTGAAGTTAAGTGGTCGAGAGTCGAAGTTCTTTACGTACTCGTATTTCATTAAGACGGCTTAGGTTCGTTTATACAACCGAATGTGAAAAGGATTTAAGTAACCTGCCGACCACGTGGGGTTTCTGCGGGAAATCCGGTGTCCCCAACACGTTAAGACCCTCTGCGCACTTCCATTCGGGCAAACTAGCGAAATTGATATAACTTTACTAATTAAATTCATAATTATTGTAAACGAAATAAGCTTTGTATATAATCTGCAATTGTCCCTTTTTGGAGAATCTCAAAATGTCAGTAATATATTTTAGTGTTTGGAATAAGTAAGTGTGTCAACAATTTGAGTTTGAAGAATGAAAACATATATTACCCATTTGAAAGTACAAAATCAACCGCAACATGTAATGCAATGATGTCCTGCAAACAGAACAAAGGTATCGGTCTCAAATATATTTGCAAGACTATACACTTGTGTTTTTCTAAAGAATCAGAAAGCACGAGTTTTAATGCGCAGACGTATATATTCACTCGTGCGCTCGATTTTATAAAATGCGATATGGTCGGCTAAGATCAATCAGATTAACCAGAGAGACATGTTATTAAGCGTACTAAATCAAATCGAGAGACTTCTTTGTCATACTGTATAGCCTAACAAATCCAACAAAGAATGTACGATTAATCAAATTTTTTAATGTAAGATCGATAAATATAAGTTATAATGCCAAGCCTACTTAAGAGTAGCGGTAAATATTAGCTATTATGAGTTCTGACCGTACACAGAGGGCGAGTATATACACAACAACCTAAGTTATTATAAAATGCCATATGTATTCATACAATGATCAAGCTCAAGGCAGTAGCTACAATTTTTAATCCGTCAGGAACAATGGCCATAGTTTATCAACAGCAATTTTCTGATCTCCTTGAACAACAAAGTCCAGTCCATACTACTACCAACAGAAAGCTTTTAATTAATAAACAGTGTCGTCAACGATAAAGACAAAACAAATAAAAGCTGAAGTGGTAAGCTGTGTTTATCAGATTCGGATACTATTTTGTTAAATAATCATTAAGATATTACATCCGTAAAGCAGCCAGTATCTAACAACTGATTAACGTTTACCCAATGCTTCTCTTTATTCTGAAGCGCTTTCATTTCATAAATATATTGTTTATTGAATAATATCGCAGGATTCAGGACAATCGAACTTTACTTACTATTAAATACTCGCTTACTGATTGGTAATTTGCTGATAATGCACACATTAACCTTCAAACAGCGCGTATGAGTATATAATGGTCAAGTCTGCAAAGCAAGTAATTTACTCACCCCCATGAAGTATTGAAACTTTCTGTTTCTAACACGTACGCCAGTGAAGTTCCGTCACCTTCTCAAAAAGTATAACTGATATCGACACTTCCTACTGTAAAACGATAATATATAAATCACTTCCCGTTTATCGATGCGCTATGCAACATGGTCGCCGCGGCCTCTGAAAATCAAAAATTTGAAATTACCCGGTTTTCGCCAAAATTCTGTATGTACGTGTATGATGGTTCTGTGGCAACACTGCTGCGCTATTATCGCACAGTTTCCTATCGTGGGCAAGTAGAACATTCACCGTGCAGACATCGTGCGCATACGGCACATCGTGTAATGATGTGCTATTCTATTACTGTAACTCTTACAAACATTGTCAGCGGAATATTTCTGACGATCTATCTTTCAAATTGCAGTATCGACAACGGCAGGCACCTCAGGAACAACTGTTAGTCAGACAACATCAGTTGCAGAAACCACGTCTGCTGCTACCACAGCATCAAAGGCACCAACAACGACGACCGCTCCAGCATCTGCAACAACAAAGCCCTACCAGGAAACAACGACACAGACAACTGTGTCTTCTGCTGGTACAACAGCGCCTTCGACTTCCGCCAGCACAGAAGGTGCGTTTGATTTGCAATCTCTGTTAAGGGTGAATCTCTATATAATATCACTTTGAAACAATTGATCTATCGATCAAACGGCAGTTTGTTTTCTTACACTTCTTCCCACATTTGAAAACAAATTGAATAAGTAGAAAAAGTTAAAGGCACTAAAAGCTATGCCCTACCTTTTATGTACTCATTGTACACTTTAAAGTATATAAGGCACAATCTGACGTAAGTAAAAGATCAGGAACGCTAATGAAGTTGTTGTTTTTCTTACAACGAAATTCCTTGATACTATCAATGTTAATTGATATTTCATTAAGTAATGCATTTCTGTACCTTTCACGCGTAACCAATAAGAAGCAAACCTGAATGTTCCGAAGTTAAAATCATACTTGTTTTCATAGATTTTTGATGAAGTAATCTATCCAAACATTAAATAATCATTGTAATCATGTATCTGCAGTGACAAATAAGAGAAAAGGTATTCATGATCAATGGATAAATGTCATTTCCTTAAATCGTGCCGTTATTCTTAGCTTCAACTATGAAGTATGACTATGAATAATAAACAGATTTAATCATTAACTATTGCAAACTGTGATCCGTTAAAGTATTTTGCTTACTTTTCGGCAAACAAACATGTGCATCATTTCTGAGAGAGGTAATATGATGGCATTATATGAAAAAAAATAACATTTTGTGATATTTTCATAGTTTGAAAAGAATAACCAATTACAGACATTCAACAAACATAATTGAAATAACTTTACTGTAGAAATTGCCCGTATCTATGTTATTTTATATCAAGTGAAATTAATTCTAAAAAATGCTCCTATCTATTAAATCTTACATCCCAAATTCACTGTAAAATCAGCTCCTAAGTAACTGTTAAAACATGTTTTATGATATAATCAACAAACGCTTATAACAATGGATATTATGAATGAGTTATAAGACTTTAAACGCATATTCTTACTCAAAGGTATTCGATTGCCTCATTCCTTATTAATAAGACTGCATATATTGCAGCAACAGAAAATCGATCATCTGGCAGTAAGGTTCTTCCACTTCTTCCAACATTTTTAAACAAATTGAATTAGTAGAAAGATTTAAAGGCACTGATAGCTATGCGCTACCTTTTATGTACTCATTGTACACTTTTAAGTATAAAAGGCACTTTAAGTAGATGATCATAATGTTACATGTCTCATTGACTTTTCTGAATCTGCACCTTTTGGCAAGACTGCATTTTGCTGCACAAAGGAATGCCACTAAATTACAAAATTGCATACGGTACTGAAATATCATATACTAACATATAATACAATAAACATGTGCCAAAGCTATTAACACAATATCAAAACCAAATTACTGATATGGGGTACATCACTTCAAAATGGACATTCAAGATACATAATTTACCTTTTCGTTATTAACAATTACTTATTTCAGATTTTAATACTTCAACTTGCCTGATTGTTTTTTGATAACATTGACACAATGTCTGCCTCTTTAAGTTGGTATTAGGCAACCAGTTTTTATGACATAGATATTGTTCGTTTATGTGTCTGATAAAATCAATGTTGAAAATGAAAGGTTCAACAACACAAGTTTCAAGTGAGACAACGACCCAACCATCGTCTACATCAGCTGTTTCAATCTCAAATGGCACGTCGTCTTCGTCGACTACTGTTGGTACAGGAGCAACAACAGCTAAAACGACCATCCTGTCAACGCCATCTCAGGGTAAATTCCCGTCAAAACCAAAAGAGTTGATACTTTGCTAAGGAGATTTCGAATTATCCCTCTTGTTATCTTTTAAAATAACTCATATCCTTTTCTTTGTGTGAAATCGAACTCACAAAATAAAATGTACGAACCCTTAAAATTACCATATTTTAACGTAGTTTTTGGCTGATCATTTTACAGGCTCTACCACAACAGAAAAGCCAACTTTCCCGACGCCTCTTTCTGTAACGACTTCAACTGAGTCAACAGCTACTTCTACGGGGTCTACACGTTCTAGTGGTATGGATTAAATACTATTACATCTGAGTTGTATCTACTTGTATTATCCATAACATACGGCATGTTTTAATATTAAAAGTGCACATGAAACATTGTTGTTGATTGTCTCAATTGAGATATCAAAAGGTACAACAGTTTAACACCATTGCAGCAAAACAAACAGGGAAGGGGATAGGAACAAAAAAGATGTAAAGTTATCTGACTAAAATAACAGTCATAAAAGGTGGACACCTATCAATATTTTAGACTTCATTGGTTTGTCATAAGCAGCATACGTCTATTGTTATAGTATGACCTAATGCAACGTTTAAGTGCAATAACAAAATATTTGTTATGTCAGACATGGACATAACATATTGATATATATGGAGTTAGTTTTCCCAAATGAATGATGCCATTCACATTCATATTAAACAATGTACAGAATGCATCAGTTCCGATCTGTTTGACGATTCGACAATCAAAATATCTTACAAACCAATTCAACTTTCCCTTTTAATGCAAGTCACCGTGTTCTTCTAACAACTTACACGGAGATAAAATGGTAGTGAATGGCCCTAATATTGTGAATACATGTGACTTAATATAAGCATTTTATGTCTGAACAAACAACCGTCAGCACAACTACTTGCATTGTAAAGACAATCCTTTACGGGACAAATCCTGACTAACAGAGAGCCAATTCAACAAATACTGAGACAACAACATATTAAGCCCATCAATCATCTTCATTTCCATTCCCTGCCACTAGAACTACGTTCCGAACAACATTAATACTTACCACATCATCTATTATCCAATCAAGTCGCACTACTGCGCTTAGCACTGCAGCACCAGTGCTAACAATGACTACCGGTAATAGCTACATAACAACACGTTGGTCGACACATTTTATCCCCAATATTAATCAAGGCTTTTCATCACATCAACTCCACTAATCAGAAGCAACAACAATTAATGTTTTCACATTACCTTTCACCCATCCTTCATCAACAAGTACACATTTAGGTATGCGTACATACGCACATCATCTAAGTCTTGCTATTATTTGTTGGCATAACATAATATCAATAGGAATGTGTTAAATTAGTTTCTATATGTTCAAATGGTGTCACACTGGAAGATGCAACAGTTCCATAAACAAAAGAATACGAAAAGACATAGAAAATTATACAAGTTATGTAACTTAAAATCAAATCTGCCTCACATTTAATGTTCTATGAAGAGCTTTTCGACTGAAACACCCCCCAACTTCTTTACATATATCAAAGGGAACGGGAAGCCATTATTCTTCTACTACATTACAATCAATTTCTTCTCCAATTACATCAACAGTAGTTACTATTGCATCCACAAAAACTGTTCCAATGTGGGAAAATTATCCACGAATGTCCCGGTCAATTTTTTTGATTCAGGTGAAAGTTAACAATGCTTTTTCATTGGATTATATCGCGGGATTCAGAATTAGCGAAATGAAATTACCAGTAAATAGGTTGATACCCATTTATCATTGGCGAATGATTAATACATATACCTTCAAAACAGCGGTTATAAGAATGTTGTGGTCAAACCAACCAATTTAGTGAATATTTCATCAAGACAAAGTCAGGCACGTTTTTGTTTTGTCCCATTTCCCCTATTTTCTCCAGTGAGTTTCCGTCACATTTCTCCAACTACCAGCTGCAATTGATCAAATCTTTACATCAGTATTCACACGTTGTAGATAATAGATAAATCACTTTCCGTTTTTCGATGCGCCATGCAACATGGTCGCCGCGGCCTCTGAATAATCAAAATGTCGATATTACCCGGTTTTCACCAAAGTTCTGTATGTACGTGTATGATCGTTCTGTGGCAACACTGCTACGCTAAAATCTGTGAGTCAGACAACATCAGTTGCAGAAACCACGTCTGCTGCTACCACAGCATCAAAGGCACCAACAACGACGACCGCTCCAGCATCTGCAACAACAAAGCCCTACCAGGAAACAACGACACAGACAACTGTGTCTTCTGCTGGTACAACAGCGCCTTCGACTTCCGCCAGCACAGAAGGTGCGTTTGATTTGCAATCTCTGTTAAGGGTGAATCTCAATATAATATCACTTTGAAACAATTGATCTATCGATCAAACGGCAGTATGTTTTCTTACACTTCTTCCCACATTTGAAAACAAATTGAATAAGTAGAAAGAGTTAAAGGCACTAAAAGCTATGCCCTACCTTTTATGTACTCATTGTACACTTTAAAGTATATAAGGCACTTTAAGTAGATAGTTCATAATGTTACATGTCTCATTGACTATTCTGAAGAACTTCTCGTTTCTGCAAGACTGTAATTTGCTACACAAAGGAATGCCATTAAATTACAAAATTGCATACGATACTGAAATATCATATACTAACATATAATACAATAAACATGTGCCAAAGCTTTTAACACAATATCAAAACCAAATTACTGATATGGGGTACATCACTTCAAAATGGACATTCAAGATACATAATTTACCTTTTCGTTATTAACAATTACTTATTTCAGATTTTAATACATCAACTTGCTTGATTGTTTTTTGATAACATTGACACAATTTCTGCCTCTTTAAGTTGGTATTAGGCAACAAGTTCTTATGACATAGATATTGTTCGTTTGTGTGTCTGATAAAATCAATGTTGAAAATGAAAGATGGACACCTGTCAATAGTTTAGACTCCATTCGTTTGTCATAAGCAGCATACGTCTATTGTTATAGTATGACCTAATGCAACGTTTAAGTGCAATAACAAAATATTTGTTATGTCAGACATGGACATAACATATTGATATATATAGAGTTAGTTTTCCCAAATGAATGATGCCATTCACATTCATATTAAACAATGTACAGAATGCATCAGTTCCGATCTGTTTGACGATCCGGCAATCAAAATATCTTCCAAACCATTTCAACTTTCCCTTTNCAATGACAACAAAACAACACGTGGGTCGACACATTTTATTCCCACTATTAATCAATGCTCTTTATCACAGCAACCCTACTGGTCAGAAGCAACAACTATTAATGTTTTCACATCATCTTCCACCCGTCTTTCATCAACAGGTACACATAAAGGTATGCGTACAGACGCACATTATCTAAGTCTTGCAATTATTTGTTGACATAACATAATATCAATAGGAATGTGTCAAATTAGTTTCTATAGGATTTATCAGTTCCATAAACAAAAGGATACGAAAAGTTACCGAAAATTATACAAGTTATGTAACTTAAAATCAAATCTGCCTCACCTTTAAGGTACTATGAAGAGCTTTCCGACTGAAACACCCCCAACTTTTTTACATATATCAAAGGGAACGGAAAGCCATTATTCTTCTACTGCATAACAATCAACTTCTTCTTTAATTATATCAACAGTAGTTACTACTTCACCCACAAAAACTGTTCCAATGTGGGAAAATTATCCACGAATGTCCCGGTTCTATTTTTGGCTATTGATGTGAAAGTTAACAATGCTTTTTCATTGGATTATATCGCGAGATTCAGAATTATGGAAAAGAAATAACCAGTAAATAGTTGATACTTATTTATCATCGGCGAATGATTAATACATATACCTTCAAAACAGCGGTCATAAGAATGTTGTGGTCAAACCAACCAATTTAGTGAATATTTCATCAAGACAAAGTCAGGAACGTTTCTGTTTTGTCCCATTTCCCCTGTTTTCTCCAGTGAATTTCCGTCACATTTCTCCAACTACCAGCTGCAATTGATCAAATCTTCACATCAGTATTCACACGTTGTAGATAATATATAGATTACTTCCCGTTTATCGATGCGCCATGAAACATGGTCGTCGCGGCCTCTGAATAATGAAAATGTCGATATTACCCGGTTTTCGCCAAAATTCTGTATGTACGTGTATGATGGTTCTGTGGCAACACTGCTACGCTAAAATCGCACAGTTTCCTATCGTGGGAAAGTAGAACATTCACCGTGCA